AGTGCACACGTGTGGACGGAAATACTTGTTGACATTGCACGAATGATATCTGGTTACTTTTCAAACCTATTCAATACAATTCAACAAGACATGGGGCGTTTATAGGAAAAGTTGTCAGTTGGGAACTACCCTTATCCAATTAAAAAGAGTCACCTGGCAGAGTCTTCTAAAAATCTGATATCAGAGATGCACTATTTGGTATTGGCTTATTTAAGGCGCCTGGTCTGGATAGGTTTCACATTGTTTTCTATCAAAGCAATTGGAAGGTAACATTATTTAGTTTAGTTTTTTTTTTAATGGGAATGGGATGCTAATTCCTTTAAACGGTTCAAATGTGGTTTTAATTCCGAAAACTATGACTCCAAGGAGTACAAGTGATTGCCAACCAATCAGTCTACATAATTTTATCTAAATCATTTCTATAGCTATGGATAATAAGGAAGAAAGTCACTCTTCTTGACCATATTTCACCTTCTCAGAGCACCAGTATCCCATGTCGTGTTATCGTTGATAATATTATTGCCGCTTTCGAGATTATGTACTATGTCAAATGAAAAAATAAAATTGCAGTCGTCAATGTATGTCTTTGTGGCGCGATATAAACAAATCCTCTGACATGGTAGGATTGGACTTTGTCCTAAGTATTATAGAATGCAGGGGATTTCCTCACTATTGGCACAACCTTGCAAAAAATAGTATTTCGATAGCAACTTTCACCTTTTTGATTAATGGGTCTTGTTATGTGGAATGGGAGATCACCAAGGTGATTTTCAGGCTCAGTAAACACCCAATCAGTTAGCACCACTATGAAGAACCAACCCAAAACTTTCAAAAAATCTGTGCTTCGATTGCTTTCGGTTTGTCTGCAAAGAGCATAGGATGGTAGTGTGTTTAGCAGCCACACAGGCAGCCACAAAGGCTGAGAATGAAGGAGAAAAGTGAAAGGCTCAAAATCACAGCCGTTGTTTTCGTTCAAAGGAAGATACATATAACACGCACTAACACACAGTAAAAGCAATGAGGCATATATATTTAACCATTAGGGTAAAAGTCATTAGGGAATAATAATGGCCAAGCCCAATTTAGGTAAGTGGGTTAAATATAGCACTGGTATCGTCATTGAAAGTATAGAATTTCTTTTTTGTAATATAAATATTTCTCTTGCACGACTTGGAGCTTCTTGGAATTTATCACATTTTCATTTAAAGAAGTGTACCCTAGCCTGCCACATCTTTCACAAAGTAGCGAATGTGTTCTTAAATCATAGCAATCTATATATTAGGCAACAATGCACGTAAGTAGACCATCACTTAAAAGTCATCCAAGAGGTAGAGAAGTGGACCATGAGCAACACTAAATAAATTAGGCTATTTCCAAAGGCCCAAATAGTTTTAGGGTCAAGTCATTTCATTAAGGTGTTGACTTTTGGTTCAGTCATTTTGTCAATGCCTACTGAAAATTATACCGAGTTACATCATATCGTGGCAAGTTGTTTGACAACAATTTGCCTAACAGGGCTCTCATTCATTTCATTTCATTTCTACTATGTGCCGAAGATCTATCTAAACTATGACGATGGGCTGAGATGGAGAGTCGAATTTGGGGATTCAGTTGTTCAAGAAATAATCGTCATGTTAGTCACTTATTCTTCACTGATGATAGCGTAATATTTTGTCAAGCAACTCAAGTTGACTGGTGTAAGTAAAGATATTTGGGTATTTCTGAAATGGCTTCTGGACACAAAATAAATATTTTGAAATCAGCTCACACCTTTGTAGTGATATGAAACGGATCGTAAGATAATGGTAATAATGAAATAAAGAAAAAGAAAACAAGAACATAAGAATTTAAGTGGAAACCCAATTCGGGAAAAAACCACGGGCAGAGGAGAACAATAGAGATATAGGTGCCGTTCTTCACGGGGTGGGGTATTAAAATAAGGATTAATCTAGTTGTACATAATCCTCTACATAATGGTTCACATAATGGCGATGTGGCAATCATCCACTTATTGATGTGTAAGGCCCTGTTTGATAAGGCATATTTTCCAAGGAAGTAGCAAAATAAATTCCATTTTCCCACTTTTTACCATGTTTGACATGCCAAATTTTACCTGGAAAATTTATTCCTACTTTCCCCTCACGTGATCGATTTTCCCTCAAATCGTTGAAATCATTTCCCCGTCTCAAAGTCGGATAAATATTTTCCACCAAAATCAGGAAAATCCAAACCCAGAAAATCGAACCCTTTCTTTCCCCAAACCTTCTCTCCACACCGGACGACGTTCGATTCGTCCTCTCACGCAGCATCGATTGCTGCCGTTTTGCAGCTGAACCCAGCGGACGACCATTGTCTGCAGGCGTCTCTCACGGCGAACCCTGCGTCGCTTCCTCCACCGCAGAAACGGTTTAGGTATCGTAGCATACTGCTCCATGTTTTCGGGTTTTTTATTTGTTTTCTGTTCAACAATTTCATCATGGCTGCTTCATACACTTTGCTATCTCACCATTTCATTTACGGATTTAGCCCTTCTCTGTGTTACATCTGCAATCTCCATGCCCATTTGCGGGAACTGTACATTTCGAACTGTGGGTTGTCACGGTGTTTCGATTTACTTGTTCTTTTTGGATTTTCTTCCATGCCCCAGTTCTTGAACTCCTTCTGCAGTTCCGTAAAATACATGGGTAGTTGCTGACTTCTGTGTTGTTTAATGGCGAAATGTAAAATGTCTGCTGTCTCTGTTGCATACATTTCGATTGACATACATGTTGGTTTTCCTGAGGTTTCTGGGTAGATTGGAGGCTGAGATTTAGCTACACTGCTATATTATTTTCATCCCCTGAGGTTTATATATGTCTAAAGAACATATATGCCATGAAGAAGTTCTCTCTTTGAAAAATTGGGAATTCTGTTTAGGAGCAAATGTATATTTTGACTTGCACAGAAAATTTTTGTTAAATTTGTATAGTGTTGGATGAGATTATTGATTCTTACAAATAAGAAGACACTGCCATCTCTTTGATCCATTTCAATATCAGACCATGTCTGTTGTTTCTTGTGTGTGAATGCCATTACTAGTATGACATTGACATTTCATATTGCTAGCTTCACTTGGTATTTTGGATGTGGCATTAGTTAGTTCCTTTCTGCCTTCGTGAAGTACATGTACATGTTTTCATGATACTACGATTTCATTGTGCTTTAATTGCATTAATTAATCCAATGTTGTAGGCTTCTGGTATTTCTCATTTCTCGATAAACAATTCCCGAAACATCGCGGTGACAATTTTTGAACGTTGTTCTAAGTGCCATGGATACCTCAACAAACCAACATCGTCGCCAACGTCAACAATTGGGTCTATTTTGGATGATGGTCATACAAGCAGTTGTAATATATAATTCCATGAGGCGTCGTGATCGACAACTCCCCAGAGCCCCACGTACAAATTGGGACACTGAAAGGGAAATGACACTTACACGAATGTTCGGTACTAGTGATAGGATTTGTCGTGATCTACTGAGGATGAGGATAGGTCCGTTTGAAAGATTCTGTGCTCGTTTACGAACATATGGCTTGGTGGATAATAGATCAGTCAAAGTAGAGGAACAAGTGGCTATATTTCTCAATACCGTAGGTCATGACCACCGTAATCGAACTGGCAGTTTTACGTTCTTTAGATCGGGGCAAACAGTGAGTTACTATTTTCATAGAGTTCTACAGGCTTGCCTTGCATTGTATAGGGATGTTGTGACCAACGCCACTGTTCATAATAGTCCGTACGAGAAGGATACTGTGAAGCCATGGTTCCAATATTTTGAGGTTAAGTAGTAGTATTTACATTCATACCATATTTTTCATTACGTGTCATGCATTCTTCCTCATAACAAAAATGTTCTTTCCGTATTAGGATTGTGTGGGGGCAATCGATGGTACGCACATTCCTGCATATGTCCCAGTAGAGGAACAAGCGAGGTATCGCAATAGGAAGCAAATGATAACTCAGAATGTTTTAGTCGCTTGCACGTTTAATATGAAGTTCACGTATGTGCTTGCCGGTTGGGAGGGATCTGCTCACGATGGTAGGTTGTTAAGGAGTGCCACTTTACGGCAAGGTCATAGGCTAACAATTCCCGTTGGTAAGTGATGCACCTTCTTCGTTCATATGTCTTTCACCTTCTTTAGTGAAGAACGACCTTTTAACAACCATGTTTGGAATAGGTAAATATTATCTTGCCGATGCCGGATTTCCGTTGGTTCCCGGATTTCTAGCACCTTACCGTCGGACTCGGTACCTAGCATCTCTGTAACTGGGACATCGACCTGAAAGCCAGAAAGAGCTGTTCAATTTTCGTCATTCATCTCTCCGAAATGTTGTGGAGAGGATTATTGGTCTGTTAAAAAGAAGATTTGCATATCTGAGGCATCAACCATACCACGATATTCAGACACAAGCGAGGATTGTCCTAGCTTGTTGTGCCATTCACAACTTCTTAAGGATTCATGACGCAGATGATTTATGTGACGAGTACTACTTCAGCAGTGATGACGATGAGGTGAACCCTGAACATGTCGAACCACCCGAAGATGACACACCAAACTTTCCTATATCGTTCGCAGCAGAGGCTGCGTGGGCTACTAATAGGGATACAATGGCTGATGCTATGTGGGCCGCTTACCATCCGTCTCAAGACGTGGGAATTGATTTCGATTGATTGTACTATTCCATAAAATTATGAAATTATCTGAATGTAATGTTTGGAGAGAAAGGAGAGGATGTTCTCATATCGTACTGTTTTGTATAATTTCAACTTTTCAATTGTCACTACGTCGTAATACAATGCTACCAAACTTATTATTGTCAAAGATATCTATGCTACCAAACTTATTATTGTCTGTGTTGATACATATTTACATCTGCATACCTTGTTCTTGTGAGACTACTACTTTGTTATGCTCATAGTGTCATCATTTATTTATTATTTTCCCTTGACAGTGACCAATGGCACAGCCTCGACGAAGTTCTATGGGGCCTTTTCCAGTTCCCAGACCGACAAACCCTGGAGACGGGAATCAAGTGGATGCTAATGCAAAGGCTCGTCAAGTACGTTGGAGTGACGAAATGGATGGTTTACTGATCAATTCACTTGTTGAACAAGTGTTGTCTGGGCACAAACGAACTGACAACGGCTTCACGTCATTCCAAGTGGCTAAGGCGATCGAAAGGGTTTCCAATGGATGCGGGGTTGCTGTCTCGGATAAGAATGTGAGGGCAAGGTTGAAGACTCTTAAAAAGGAGCACACTGAAGTGCGACAGTTGCTGAATATGAGCGGATTTGGGTTGGACCCCGAAACAGGACGCATTGTGGCAGATCAAGTTGCTTGGGATGAATTTATTAAGGTATGTTGTTGGGAAAAATTTACTTTCCTGTTACGATACAAATGTAGAAGTGACCTATGGAGGTAAGATGATTTGAGTTCTTCATTTTTGTATATATCGTATATATTCACCTATGGAGGTAAGATTCTGGAATTGTCAAATTGGAATGAGATGGATTTGGGTGTATATCATGTGATAATTGAAACGGAAGTAGTGACAGTTGATGTTATTGTTGATCAGTGTCGATTGTGATTAGCTTATTATTGAATTGAGTTAGCGATAGTTGTGAGTATTTTGGCATACTGTAGTTGATTGCTTACACTTGCACTTACCCAGGACTGATCATTTAACAGAGAAATTATACAAATTGCAACACCGGGCTGCATATCAGATTTTTTTACCGTGTAATTGATCCATTAAATGCTAGCTATGTTAGAGGTCATACAAAATTATTTGTATTGAACATGTTGACATGGAAATGTATTCATCAGTTTTATGGTGGAAATGATGCTATCAGATTTTTTGTACAGGTTGTATAGTTGGTCTGTCGTTTTCCCAGTTTTCAAATTTGGTAATTATTCATGCTCCATGTTTTGTACAGGTTCTTTTAATGCGTGTGTATTGGCATCATTTTTTTAAGTATAACTACTTCCTAATGATGAGATTTCAGGACTTTATTTCCATTATAATATAATTAAGGTCACTATAGTTTTACAACTTAAATGACAGACCTTTTTTATATCCTTCAGTTTGAAGATAGTCAATAAAGAAAAATGAAGTTGAGTGAATAATTCCCATTCTGTGTTGGTGTTTGGTAGAAGAGATAACAGTTTGTTGCAGCCCGCAGGTCTACTTTACTTTCATTTGCACATCTTGCAAGCACATTTAAACTTTTGTTGGCGTGACTTTTGAAGAGCTAGAAGGTCATTTTGAGGCTAAGAAGTTGCTTTTGACGTATTTGGATGATTTTCCGAATTTTTGGTCTGACTAGAAGATTTTTCATTAGAGTAGCCGACCAAAATTTGCTTGTTGAGGAAGTTCTTCTATAAAAGTTAAAGTAATCCCAAATAGGCTCTTAAAACCTTTCTATCCATCTTGCTTTAGTCTTTTCTCCTTTATGATTGTCGAAGATTATCCGTGAAATCTAGTTTTGCTCGTCTCTAATGTGCGAACATTAGCATTGCTTCTCATGTTGATCAATGGATGAACAGTGGCTCGAACTTGAAATTTCTTACATGAATGATGAATCTGCTGTTTAATTCTGAATTCGGATTTTTGTAGCAATCTTTTCTTCTAGTTGCATTTGTTTGGTGTGGCTACAAATTATTGTCAACATTTGCCAGTCCCTTCCCCCAAGTTTCTTCTCTCTCATTGTAAGCTAGCGTTAGAATTTTGTACAGGTTCTTTTAAAATTTGTTAACGAATCATGTGTCAGTTTTCATAATGAAAAATGTATGCTAATTCCAGTTTTGAAGGTATTTATGTTGCGCTCATCACGTGGCTTAATCATTAGTCTCAACTTTGCAGGGAAAGCCGGAATTTGGGAAGTGGAGGACCAAACTTTGTCCCAGATATGATGAGATGGAGACCATATTTGGGAATGATGCAGCCACTGGAGATCGCGCAGTGTCCGGTTTCGACGATTTCTCCCCAATGAATGGTATGTAATATATTTTACAACTTCGATTCGTGTTTTTTTCCTAACGCAGTTGTTATCTCTTTTGTGTAGTCACTGAGGAAAGTGTGAATGAGATGGATATGGAAAATGTGGAGATGGATCATAGCCCAGTTAATGTTCGTAAGCGTACAGCGGAAGAGGGGACGCAAAAGGCCAAGCGTCGACGTAAAAAACCGGTGGATGAGAGTACTGTCGCCCTAATAAGGATTGCCGAGTCATCTACAAAAATTGCTCAAGCTATGGAAATGCAAGCTACGCTAGATACACAGAATCATGTGAACTGGCAATTGATTGTAGAGAAACTGGAGGCAATGAACTTAGACATGAATGACGTAATGGAAGTCATGAAAGCGTTTCGATCTGACGATGGTTTGGCGAAGGTATTTATGAACCTGACGAACGAGAAATACATGCGTGCTTTGGTTTTCGACAAGCTTGGTCGTGATCCGCCTCCACTACCATAGATTGCACGTGTTACAGTATGTGTATGAAGTATGTATTTGTAAAACATAATCCACGTACGTGGTCTTTTGGATCTTTTGTAACGCACACACGATGAAACTAGGGTGCAATGTTTTGTACATATTGGATGGATAGTTCTTGGTAGTCTCCCAGGTGCTGAATGTATTTTTTGAAAAATGGTTCTGTTTGCACAAGCTATTTTGTAGCCCAGATGATTTATATGTAATGGGAATATATTTTTGTTAAACTTTGAGATGCCTACTCCCCCATGAGTATTAATTTGGGAAACAATTTCCTGTTGTCGTTTCTTTTGTATTCTATATGAAAGTTCGAATATTAAAAAAACCCATTAAGTCCTAGTTGGAAAAGATGGTTTAAGGTGAAACATATTTTTTCTTATCTGAAGAGAATCCACTATTGAAAAAAATGCACATCCACATTTGTGTCTTATCTGAAGAATCTTACTCGGGTGAAACATTATTTTTCTTTACAGTATTTAATTTTAAACCATTTTTTCACATTATCTTTTGTTCATGGTTTCTTGGACATTATTAATGGCTATCAAAAACCAATTGTTGGGAAAAAAAAAAAAATTTTCCATGGAAAACAAAGCCTATCAAACAGCTAAAGATGGAAAAACCCATAATTTTCCATGGAAAACAAAGCCGATCAAACACCAAAATATGGAAAATCTCAACATTTTCTAGCTGGAAAATTATACCAATCAAACGCAAATAATTGACAATTCCCGGAAAAATATATTCTAGGCAAATATTTTCCCTAGAATTTATTTTCTTTCCACCCATTTTCCACCCTTACAATCAAACGCACCCTAAGTGTAAAAGTTGAATTAAAGGCAGGATCACATGGCACGTGTAATTATGTGAACCATTATGTGAATGGTTATGTACAAGTAGCATTACCCTTAAAATAAACTCTCTATGGATGTTGTTTTATATATAAAATGAAGGTGACCAGATGCAGATGCTTTGTACAGTCCATAGGTACAATTCTTTCAAAAGGCAAATTTTTTTTGTACTCTGTATCACTATTTCATTAAATTAATAGCTGCATTAAATAATTGAGACACTATTTATTTCGAACATAATCATGGGTGAATAATACACATGTTAATAGTGAATGTGAGTATTATGTGTTTCTAAAATCTTATTTTATAATTAAGATAAGTTTAAATTACATAGAAATCCTTAATCTAGTAAAAATATAAAGAATCCCCCTAATTTTGAACATTACGATTTTAAACATTATAGAAATCTCTCTCATTAGCAATATTAAATATTCATTTTTCATTCTATTACATTTTTTTACTAGATTCAAAAATTCATTTATTTTTTTATTTTTAAAATTTTAATTTTGATAACATTATTCTAAGTTTAAAGACTTCTGCACAAGTCAATATCATCTTAAAAATATTTTTAACGAAAGAGGTCAATTACTAACTAAACGGTAAACACAATGGTTGTATAATGGGAAAAAGAGATAATGAAAAGCAAGTGATAAATCATTTTTAACTTAAACTTGAGAAATTTTATGAAAAGGAGAAAATGTACTGGGCGCAATTAGCAAGGGCTTATTTCTTATAGCTACTTTCACCATGAGGATGCAGGTCGAAACGTGAGAAATAAAATATCTGGCTAAGTGGACAGTGCACACGTGTGGACGGAAATACTTGTTGACATTGCACGAATGATATCTGGTTACTTTTCAAACCTATTCAATACAATTCAACAAGACATGGGGCGTTTATAGGAAAAGTTGTCAGTTGGGAACTACCCTTATCCAATTAAAAAGAGTCACCTGGCAGAGTCTTCTAAAAATCTGATATCAGAGATGCACTATTTGGTATTGGCTTATTTAAGGCGCCTGGTCTGGATAGGTTTCACATTGTTTTCTATCAAAGCAATTGGAAGGTAACATTATTTAGTTTAGTTTTTTTTTTAATGGGAATGGGATGCTAATTCCTTTAAACGGTTCAAATGTGGTTTTAATTCCGAAAACTATGACTCCAAGGAGTACAAGTGATTGCCAACCAATCAGTCTACATAATTTTATCTAAATCATTTCTATAGCTATGGATAATAAGGAAGAAAGTCACTCTTCTTGACCATATTTCACCTTCTCAGAGCACCAGTATCCCATGTCGTGTTATCGTTGATAATATTATTGCCGCTTTCGAGATTATGTACTATGTCAAATGAAAAAATAAAATTGCAGTCGTCAATGTATGTCTTTGTGGCGCGATATAAACAAATCCTCTGACATGGTAGGATTGGACTTTGTCCTGAGTATTATAGAATGCAGGGGATTTCCTCACTATTGGCACAACCTTGCAAAAAATAGTATTTCGATAGCAACTTTCACCTTTTTGATTAATGGGTCTTGTTATGTGGAATGGGAGATCACCAAGGTGATTTTCAGGCTCAGTAAACACCCAATCAGTTAGCACCACTATGAAGAACCAACCCAAAACTTTCAAAAAATCTGTGCTTCGATTGCTTTCGGTTTGTCTGCAAAGAGCATAGGATGGTAGTGTGTTTAGCAGCCACTGAGAATGAAGGAGAAAAGTGAAAGGCTCAAAATCACAGCCGTTGTTTTCGTTCAAAGGAAGATACATATAACACGCACTAACACACAGTAAAAGCAACGAGGCATATATATTTAACCATTAGGGTAAAAGTCATTAGGGAATAATAATGGCCAAGCCCAATTTAGGTAAGTGGGTTAAATATAGCACTGGTATCGTCATTGAAAGTATAGAATTTCTTTTTTGTAATATAAATATTTCTCTTGCACGACTTGGAGCTTCTTGGAATTTATCACATTTTCATTTAAAGAAGTGTACCCTAGCCTGCCACATCTTTCACAAAGTAGCGAATGTGTTCTTAAATCATAGCAATCTATATATTAGGCAACAATGCACGTAAGTAGACCATCACTTAAAAGTCATCCAAGAGGTAGAGAAGTGGACCATGAGCAACACTAAATAAATTAGGCTATTTCCAAAGGCCCAAATAGTTTTAGGGTCAAGTCATTTCATTAAGGTGTTGACTTTTGGTTCAGTCATTTTGTCAATGCCTACTGAAAATTATACCGAGTTACATCATATCGTGGCAAGTTGTTTGACAACAATTTGCCTAACAGGGCTCTCATTCATTTCATTTCATTTCTACTATGTGCCGAAGATCTATCTAAACTATGACGATGGGCTGAGATGGAGAGTCGAATTTGGGGATTCAGTTGTTCAAGAAATAATCGTCATGTTAGTCACTTATTCTTCACTGATGATAGCGTAATATTTTGTCAAGCAACTCAAGTTGACTGGTGTAAGTAAAGATATTTGGGTATTTCTGAAATGGCTTCTGGACACAAAATAAATATTTTGAAATCAGCTCACACCTTTGTAGTGATATGAAACGGATCGTAAGATAATGGTAATAATGAAATAAAGAAAAAGAAAACAAGAACATAAGAATTTAAGTGGAAACCCAATTCGGGAAAAAACCACGGGCAGAGGAGAACAATTCACTATAATCAATAGTTTTGTGTTTACAATATCAAGATTTCAATAATCTCAATTGAAATCTAAACTCTCAATCTTTTAATATGTTGTTGAAGATGTAAAGAATAAATATATGAATATTATATTATGGAGATACAATGTGACTATATATAAAACCTCATATTTGAGTCCAAGATGGAGAAGGAATCCAAAATATGCCTTTAGCCATCCAATAGTCCTCCTTCAAGACAAACTCTTAATTATTATTGAAATTTGATCTCCACTCATATTAGAACTCTACAAACCCAGATACCTTAGACTTCCTCCAATCAACAAAATACCAAATCACATGGAATTTGGATCACACCAAAATAAATCTCCACCTTGAGCCAAATTTCGTTACAAGGAATTAAAATATATCTTCGAAACACCATTTCTCATCTTCCAAACAAGCCCCAATGGACTAAATCAATGAAAAACATCAATTAAGTTCAAGCAATACTCAAACATAGAAATTGAAAGTGGTTTTGTCATCATATCAGTATAATTATCCTTGGTATCAACCATGCTCACTACAATATCACCACAAGCAATTACATCACGTACAAAATGATACCTCACATCAATGTGATTAGTCCTTTCGTGAAATAACTGATCCTTAGTCAAGAAAATTGCACTCTGACTATCACAAAATATTGTAAATATCTGAAAGTCTTCACTGATTTCACCAATCAATCCTCTCAGCCACATAGCCTTCTTACATACCTCTGTAATGGCCATGTATTCTGCTTCTATTGTAGACAAAGCCATTGTATTTTGCAAAATAGCTTTCCANGGCGCCTAGGCGCTAGGTAGGTAGCGCCTGGGCGCTGAGTTGCCGTTCACTTTACATCTGTTTCAGTATTGTTATCATAATTTTCTCTCTTGATATCCGATTGATGTAATTCAAGATGCGTTGGAAAGATAACTCAAAGGACTACAATTGTTTTTTAGAAATCGTCTTCAAAT